CTTATAATACAATTAGAGAAAGCTGAGAGGGTGGCCAAGGAGTCCAGGCCACAGTTTGTCACAGGGGAACAGACATAACAGAAGACAGGGAAAGACAAGGTTTGCATGGTGAAACTTATAACGCCTCACAAGCATGCAGTGCAGAAAGGTTCAGAACAGCAAGGATTCTGCTGGGAAGCCAACCCTGGAAACACTTTAAAGGGCTTGAAAGGGGAGTGTCCAAAAAAGCTTTCGATTAAAATGTTCTTTGGTAACAAAAAGTTGTTTTAGTCTCTGACAGCAGGAAGAAAGGGATTTCGCGACGTGTGCAAATCCAGGAGCAGAGCAGCTTTTAGATGACAGCCCTCTGCACCTTGTCAGTTTGAAAGAAGAGTTTTTTTCAGAGCCAAAAAAAAAAAATGAAAGGAGAGATTCCTTAGGATTCTAGAACCTGGTGAGATTATTTTTTGTCATGGAGTCTGAACCCTATTAGCTTACTAGCCATGCTCCTCAATATTTGGGCAAACAACCCATTTTCTCTGGCCAAGACACTCCAGGAAGTGCTCTGCCAAAATGTAATATATTTTCATAAATCCCAGGCAAAGTTTGTCCCACGTGAAGACAAAATGTTATTTTCTATCCTTTAAAAAAATATTATTATCTGATGGATGAGGAAGTTTGAAAGCAAATGCAGACTTTAAAAAAATGATTATATATACTGGAGAGATGGGCACAAGTTAGAGTATGGAGGGTTGGCCTTGGATCCAGGAAGAACTAGGAAGAATTGGTCCTGCCTTTGATATATAACTGGCCATGAGACTATGGTCAAGTCACTTACATTCTCATGCCCCAAGCAACTGTGATGGAGGATTTAGATTTATACTCTCTAAAACTGTGATGAACATGAGTTGTCAATCTGCATTGGCAGATGGAATTTCCACACCAGAAGTTCCCCCAAACCAAAGAAATCCCTCCCAAATAGTATATACTCTTTGAATTTCAATAGGATTCACTCAGTTCAAAAACATACATATGATCATTTAGAGTTCCCCACCCCAATAGAGCTGTAAAATGGGACAGGGTCTAAGGATTCATGAACAAATTCTATAAAATGGATTGAGTTGATCAAGACATCTTCACAATCCATAGAAACTGGTAATGAATAATAGATTGAAGGAGGAATGAAGGAAAAAGAAAACTCAATGAGGGAAGCCCTTCTTTTTGCCAGTCCCGAGACAGACTTAAAATTCCAGCAGCAGCTTAAACATGCTTGAGTTTAGATAGCTGTTGGTAAGCATTTCCCTTCCCCAGCCAGCAACAGAGCAGTAACATCAACAAGAGATGTCACATTTCCAGAGCCCTGCTGACCTTCACATCTGCCAGCTTCTGTCACCAGTACACATAAGACCTTTAGATAGCAAGAAAATGTGTGTGTAAATAGAGTAAAAGAGCTTCACTGGGGAGCAAGGGAAGATCGGGAAGGGGGAAGAAGGAGAAAAAGAAGGAAACTGCAAAGGCACTCTGAATAGGTTTTTTCCCACTTAAAACAGACTCACAAACTATTTTCCCCTAAGAACCAGCTCCTGTCAGACCAATAGCCTCATCCAGCCAGTAGCAGAGAATGTCGATTGCATTCATTTAAATATCTGTGTAGTTACAGACTCTGCTGTGTATGTGGGGGGGGGAGGGATGTGACATACAAACATACATATATATGGACATGCCTGGGAACTTACCCCCATCCTCGATCAAGGGATGGGGAGAGGGGCACTGAAACAGCTCCTCCTGGGGCAGCTAGCTGGTGCAGTGGATAGAGCACTGACCCTGAAGTCAGGAGGACCTGAGTTCAAATCCGGCCTCAGACCAAACACTTGACACGTACTAGCTGTGTGACCTTGGGCAAGTCACTTAACCCTGATTGCCTCATTAAAAAAAAAAAAAACAGCCCCTCCTTCAAACTAACAAGATCCAGAGAATTGTTGTGTGAGAAGGGGTTGGGGGGGTGAGGTGAAGTTTAAATTTTGCCTCTGATACATACTGGTTAAGTGACCCTGGCAAATTATTTAGTCTTTCAGAGTCCCAGGTTATTCTCTCTAATACTGCTAAATTTCAAAGAAGGTAATGACCTCTTTAGATAGAGGAAGTTTCCTTGCCAAGAAAATCATGAATCTAGTCCCTATCTCTATGTGTACACACACACACACACACACACACACACACACACACACACACACACAGAGACAGAGAGACAGAGAGAGGCAGAGGCAGAGACTAGATCTAGAATTGTCACTACTCTAGGCAACTCCCAAGTGAGGAAAATTGACTCTACCAATGCAGGTCAGCACCTTCTCTGCACCTGATGGTCTTAGGTGCCCAGGAATGCTGGTTTGTCCAAGGTCACACAGCTGGTATTTGTCAGAGGTGGCACTTAAGCTCTAATGCTAACTCTTTATACACTGCATTGCACTCCCTCTCATATATATTTATAGTCTATAATATTCACATATATGTATGTGCATACATACATAGAGAGTGAGGCAGTGGGGTGATCAACCAAGAAGACTTGTATTCGAGACCTATCCCAGCACACCCTGGCTGTGTGACCCTAGGCATATCATTAACCACCTCAGTGCTCCAGGGTATTATTATCTTTATAAGATTGTTCATTGCAAAGAAGGTGTTGACCTGCAGTGGTAGAGAGAATGCTTTCTCTCTAGATCAATGAAAAGCATAGGCCCTGTCATTGTCCCCCATAGAACATATAGTAATAGGTGGGGGGCTGTTGTTTTGTCTGTGAAATATGTCTGAATCCAATGTTTTGTCAATGAGATTTCAGGAAGTGGTTGGTGTTCCTCCTCCTGGGCACCTTTCAAGAGAGAATAGCTTCTACAGGGCAAGGAGCAGTCCTTTGAAAGTTTAAGGCACATAGATGGCATATTTCTAGCTGGAGGGCCCTTTTAATCCAACTCCTTCACATTTTAGAACAATTTGTATGTGATGCAGAAACCATAGGCAAGGAAACTCACATCCAGATGGTTAGGTTATTTGCCCAAGGTCACACAAGTGGAATGAGTGAAGGGGTGGGGGTGGAGATTTCCCCAGTCCTCCGATTTCCCAGGCAACATTTTCCCCACTACACCAAAATGCCTCCTCAACACCAAGCATGTCTAACGTTCCACCGGAACAGCATCCAGATAGCAGGGAGAGTGGCTTCTCTGATAAAATCTTAGCTCTAACATAAAGTTCTAATTAGACAAAAAGCAAATATTCATGCAACAATTGGGAACATTCTCCCTCCAAGCACTCTATGCAGAATAAGATTAACTCTTGGTGTTTTGTTTAAATTTAACTACACAATTGACCTCTGGAACTTTCAGCTTCTAATCAATAAGCCAACATATATGAAGCAGCTTTTATAAGCCAAGCACTATACTAGGTGCTGGGGATACAACGACAAAATTGAAACAGTCCTTGCCCTCAAGATAGTATATGATGAGTGGAAGCAACATATACCAATGTAAGTATATACAAAATATAGACAAAATGAACACAATATAGTTTGGGAAGGGAGGTCATACTCTCATTGGTCATTTAACCTCTGTCTCAGTTTCTGAATCCATAAAATGGGAATAATTATAGAATCTACCTCTTGGGGTTGTTGAGAAAAAATTATATATTTGTATTTTTCAACATTAAAGCACTATATAAATGCTGGTTGTTAATATTATTATTATTATTATCATTCATTTTCCTCTTAATGAAACATGTCTTCTTGCTCATTATACCGCTCCCTCATTTGGTGCCTTGGAACAGTAAATGCCAGAAAAATACACCGTATCCTAAAAGCTTTCTTTGGAACAAGTGCCATAGAAAAAGGACACTCGGGCTGCTTGTTTCCACAATAACACAGAATGATGGGGGGGGAGGGGAAGCTAGTCTTGGAGTCATTTTAACCCAGGTGGACCTGAGTTCCCTGAACTCCACTGATGGAGGGAGTTCCCTACAGGGATGATGAAATTGCAGGTCCAGAACAACCAACCAAAAAAGTACCATACCTAATGTTGTAAATCATATTCTTATCCCAATGATTCAAAGACTTTCTTAGACACTGCCCCCCCACACACAGACATTGAGACTACCACTTCTCTATGACTTAGTAGATGATCTCAAAGGTAATAATGGTAATAATGATGATAATTATGATAGTGATTAGCACAGTGCCTGGTACGTGTTTGTTCAGTCATGGCTGACTTTTTGACTTCCGATTTGGAGTTTTCTTGGCAAAGATCCTAGAGTGGTTTGCCATTTCCGTCTCCAGCTCATTTTACAGATGAGGAAACTGAGGCAAATAGGGTTAAGTGACTTGTCCAGGGTCACAGAGCTAGTGTCTGAGGTCAGATTCGAACTCAGGAAGATGTGTCTTCCTGACTTCAGACCCGAAACTCTATCCACTTTCACATCTAGCTGCCCTTGCCTGGCATATAGTAATGTTTAATAAAAATTTATTGATTATTGATTGTTTAAAATAATAGTAATAAATCTAATCCCTTAAGATAAGAAAATGATTGGTATAGAATGGTTTGTTTATAATATGATCTAACCAAACTGGCACCAAATATTCATTGTAATTAGTCAACTAAATACCAATTGAGTAATAATATCTTTTCTGTCTTCAGTGGCCCCTGATCTCTTCTGAATTTTAATGTTGCAAATTCCAGAAGATACAGGGGTTTGGGAGGGGAGGGAGAGGAGTAGACCAAGGGTCCAAAGGAAGGGTGCTGCTTTCTATCTAAATATTCTTACCCAGGATTAACTCTGGTCTTTAGCAGAGTCAGCCCTCCCGGTTTGCCTGGGTGCCTTCCTCCCAGAATCAGCAGCAGCAGGTTTAAAAACAGACTACTTTAAATCCCCATGCAGAACTCTCTGGGCAGCCCAGAGGAATTCTGCAGATAGCTAAGGGTGGGGGGAGGTTGTAAGCAAATATTTCTCGAATGAGAAAACCGGTATCAAGGAGGACAAACCTTGCGGGAAGGGGAGGGTCGGCCTTGCCAGCCACCAGCCAGGACGAGCGGTGGTAGGCGTATCTGTATCTCTTGTTGTCCACAGGAACGATATCCATCAGAACAATGTACTTGGCTTCAGGGTCCACCCCGGAAAACGACACCCGAATGGTAGGAAACATTCGCCTTAAACCGGAGGAGAGAAAGGATCGATCACACAAAGACATACACAAACTTGGGCTGAAATGGGGGGAGTGATTAATTAACTGATTCCTTAATTACAAGCTTTGATGGTGAAGAAAATGATCCAAAGGGTTCTGACAGGTTTATTTCAGCTTATTCCCTCTCCTAGAGCACTCCTGCCCATCTGGAAGGTCAAAAATCCTCTGAGATGGCCCAGCAATTTCCATCTGGGCTAAATTTCTCAGTTGGGATTGAATTCTGCCTCTTTACGTGGGCCGGATTTGTTGTAATAATAGTTGACATTTACAGAGCGCCTTAAACCTTTTATCCCACTTGATCCTTACAGCAGGTAAGGTAGGTGCCACAGGTGCTATTACCCTCACTTTACAGATGAAGAAACTGAGACTGACAGAGGTTAAGTAACTTTCCAGCTAATCGTTGGCAGCTAATCGTTGCCAGGGTTTCATTCAAAGTGGGTGTCTCTTGAACCCAGCATCTATTTACATAACAAAACCGCACCTACCCTTTCCCAAATACTCCTCCAATCGTTTGTGCTCTACAAATGTCCTTGATTTCTTTTGTTTGGGGTTTTTTATTTCATCGAGGTGGGGGAACTCGAAGCTTGGAAAGTCTCTTTGCTGGTGCTGATAGGTACCTCATCTGTAATGATAAATCTGTAATTTACAGTCTCAGGTAGTTGCCTTTGGGAGCCGAGAGGCTTAATTGACTTGCTCCGGGTTACTCAGTCAGTATGCGTCGGAGGCAAGACTTGAATTCCGGACTACCTGGTTCCAGGGCTTTCTCGCTACTCACTCGCTTCCTTCTCCTGACAAATATTCTTGTGTTAAAATAGCCTCACACCACGCCTTCTAAGCTCCAGGGTCTCAGAGCACTGATGGTGTCCGAGTACCAGCACAGATTTCCCAGAATGCTTTGACGTTGACATTTTTGGGGGGCACCCACTGAAGTAAGCATTTGTGACCAAGGCGGGAGGGAAGCCCTTTTACAACGAACTTGGGCTCCCCACTCGGGCTCAGACACAGGTTTTTTCAGAATAATGACTTCGGCTGTTTCCAACCTTTGGCTGGGGGGTTTGAGGACAAAATCCACCGACCCATAGCTCTAGCCCTGGGCTACTCAGCAGTGCCCCATCCAGGGCAAGGCACTTACCCACACCCACCCCCGGCAAAATCTCCCTTTCTTTCCTGTACACTTGGCCTTGGGAGTGATGTGAAGGCCGACAGCCCCAGTCTGCTTCTAACTGGCTGGTCCTTAGATGGAAGGGAGGGCGATGACGTTGGTGCTTAGGGATCCTTGGGAAACCTATGGAAGCGGTTGGTCTTCCCTCGGGTCCAATAAGTGCACTCAGCAGTGCCTGGAAATCCGTGCTTTCTAAATCCCTCTCCATCTTTCCTCAAGCCAGCTCACAGAACACACTTTGCCTAATTCGATCGCCCGCAACATGAGCAGCTGCTCTGTTCTTCCTTATATGGATTAAACAAAAAAACAACAAAAAGCGATTTGAACCACTGAGTGGTGCAGGGAATCAGAATCTGGGTTCGAGTCTTGCCTCTGCTGATTACTAGCTCTACCCGCTCCGCTACATTACTCCCCCTAGACTAGAGTTTAGCACAGTGCCTAGCACTTAATAGGCGCTTAACAAAAGCTTGCAGACCTGTTTACTTGACTGAAAACTTGCCTCGGTTTCCTTCTCTGTAAAAAAGGGAGTGGGATTCGATCAAGGATTCTTAATCTTTTTTTTTTTTTTTTTTTTTTGCATCATTGATCCCTTTGGCTGTCTGGTGAAACTTATGGAGCCTTTCTCAGAAAAATGGGGTTTTTTATGCATAAAATAAAATTTATAAGATGACAAAATAAACAAAAGGTTAATGAAAATAAAGATGTCTTTTTCCCAGGCCAAGTTCACAAACCCCCTGAAATATTAACAACCCTTGGGCCTGTTGCTTTTAGAGGTCCTTTCCAAGTCTAATTCAGTGGAAAGAGCTCTTTAGATTTGGAACAAAGGCATCACGGTTCGAATCTCACTCTGCAACGTACTACTACACGTAGGAACCTGGACCAGTCACTTACCTCTCGGGGCCACAGTGTCGTCCTTGGCAAAAGCGGGGGTTGTACTAGATAGCCTTGAAGGTTCCTTCTAGCTCTAAATCTAGGATCCATATTATATCGACAACCTTCTCTGCAGGTTCCCCTCCCCCACCTCGCCCCTGCCCCCAGCATTACCTTAATTTTTTTTTACTTTACTTTTTTTTTTTAAAGTCCAGAGGTAGTCTGCACACTAGGAAGAATAAACAGGGAAGCCCTGAGCTCCCAGTTCCCTAGGGGTCTGGGCCATTCCGACTGAGGAAATTCCAGTCTGGCGGCGACCGTGATCAACCGGATAAATCCCCGTCTCAAGCCAGCTCTGCCTGCCCTCTGCCCAGAGTCTGTTTTTTTAAGGCCACCCGGACTTGCTCCCAGCCTGGGGTCTCCCTGATTTCAAGCTTCTTCCCAGCTCCCTGCTCCCTCCCCTCCCCTCTGGTAAACTAGGCTTTTCTCCAGAGCCCTTCCTTTTCGACACTGAGTCCCCAATGTACCCCTAGATCGAAATGCCAGGGGCCAGCAGAGCGCTGGGCCTCCGGTTCGTGTCCTAGGACGCAGGATTGCTGCCCCAGGAGTAGTTGGGCGTCCCCCAGTAGCTACCACCCCCGAGAAGATCCCGAAACGATCTAGGATTCCTAACTTTCTCCTCTCCCTCCGGCCTCTAAAGAAGAGAAATTATGTCCAACGCCGGTTTAAATCTTTTCCAAAGCAATGTTTAGGGGAATGGAGTTTTTCTTGCTTTGCAGCAAGGATTTTGTCTACTGGTGTGACCTTGAGCAAATCACAACCTCTCTGCGCCTCAGTTTCCTCCTCTGCAAAATGAGAGGGCTGGACTCGATGGCCTCTGAGGGGTGTTCCATCTCTTTACCTAGGATCCCAGGATAAGTGACTTAAAGCAAGTGTCTGGGCCTTAGTTTCCCGAACTGTAAAATGAGGGGATTGGACTGACTGGCCCCTGGGGTCTCTTCTTGTGTCTCTGAAGTTACTTTCCATTCCTGCCCTCTCACCGTGGCGCTGCTTATTCAGCCCCCGCATCCCCCCAGCCCGTGTTCCCTGAATCCCCCGAGCCTCGGCTACCTGCCCGACTTGGTGATGATCATCTCGGTGCCCAGCTCGTGGAATTTATCCCAGAGCTCCTTGGTCTCCAGGCTGCAGGCGATCTTGGCCATTTCCTCGCTGGGCACGACGGGGGTGGTGGGGATGAGGGGCTCCGTGCACAGAGAGGAAGGGCTGCCGCCGCTCCCGCCGCCTCCGCCTCCGAGGCTGCCTCCAAAGTCGCCGTGGGAGTCGAGCCCTGGGAGGTCGCCGAGGGGCTGGGCGCAGGAAGTCTTCTCCACGAATTGTTCTAGTGCAAAGAGAAGTGGGTGAACTCGAGAAGGCTGCGGGCCCGGGACAGGTCGGGAGCAGGCTGCGGGCCCGGGACAGGTCGGGAGCACGGCTTCCGCCGTAGGACGGTGGAGGCCAGAAGGGCCGGCCCGCAAGTCTGAGAAGCGCGGAGGCCAAAGGCAAAGAGCGCAGCGTCCTCAGACCGCCTGCTGCGCAAAAACCCGCGGAGCTCGCTCCCCCGGGCGCTGCGGTCTACCCTTAGGAAACCCGTCTGGGACGCAGGACGCGAGTGATGGAAGACCGGGTGGGGGCCGAGGGGAGCCGACAGCAAGCGTTTCGGGCAGCTTTTCAAACCATCTCAAGTGTAGACTTTGAAGTCTCGCAGAATCCGGAGAGAGCCAGGCTGATAGTCCGACCTGGGGGCTCGGCGCCCAGTCCCCGCCCCCGCCCCCGTCTCCGCCCTTAGGCCTCTTTACTCCTACTCTCAGGCTTGCCTTCCCTTGGTCTTCACTCATGCCAGCATCCCCTAAGAGCTAGAAAGCAGAGGAGGTCCCTAAACCTCCTGCATCCCGAAAGGGATCCCGGCTTCTCCCAGCGCCGCGTCCACATAGACCTTTCAGCCCACAGCCTTGAGAATGGCTGGTGAAGTAAGACTACACGGGCTGGGCCTAAAGAGTGGGGCTGGTGGAACTTCACACTGCAGAATCCTGGGTGCCCGGTGGGCTGGGGGTGGGGGGCGGGCAGACCGTTCTCTCCCTCGGCGCCCGCCCAGGATAAGGGCCAAGCAGGAAGGAACCTTGCACGAGCTGACAGGGAGGGACCTCAGATGCGCCAGTCACTTTGACAGAACACAGGGGGACCTGCCTAATTGTCTCCATTATCTTCCGCTCCTTAAAAAAGCAACTACTTGAGCTTGCAATGTGAAGCAATCTCGAAACAGCTCCCCACCAAGGCCCTCCTGCTGGGTCAACGCAGAGAGAGGAGGCACCAGAAACAGATTTTAAGATATGTCTGTACTTACAAATACAGATATTTGCATCATCGATAGAATGTGCATTTGCTTATATCTGTGTCTTATAGTAATATATGTTCTATCTATATTGTAAACATATGTTTGATATTACTAGAGTCAAACTGAGAGAGCGTACAATGCTTCACATTCCTTAAAGGGCTGTATAAAAGCTAGTATTATCATGCATGATATGTATGTATCTATATAAATACATTTCTGATGTATTTATGATGTCGGTATAGCCCTATTTACAATATTTATAACAAACCTGAGAAAATGTATTGTAATACTATATAAATCTATAATCTGTAACCGTGGGGTTTGGGAGCTGCACTTGTAATTTAATCGATATAAATACTCCCAGTGTGAAACCTTCTACTAACGTACATCAACAACTCTTCTGCAATGCTATATTATATCAGGTTGCATAAACTATAGTACAGAATCATATGTCATCATCCTGTGATATATTAAATATGGTAATAATCATGTTATAATGATAGCTAACATTTATGCGCTGCTCTAGTGTTTGCAAAGTGCTTTTAAAAGTATTTCGTTTTATGCTTACAAAAACCCGGGAAGATTGGTGCTACTGTTATCTTCATTTTATGGGTGGGGAAACCAAGGCAAACAGAGGTTAAGCAATTTGCCCATAATAATATAGCTAGTGTATGAGGTCACATTTGAACTCAGGGCTTCCTGACTCCAGGTACAGTGCTTTCTACCCACTACACCACCTCACAACCAGCCTGTGGGGAGGGGGAATTCTACGATTATCACCCACATGTTGTGTTAGAAAGCCTAGACAACTCTGATTCTTCTCTTGGATAATATGTAAAGACAGAACTCCTAAAAATATTTTAAATCCAAAGAAGGCAAAAAATATATATGATGGCAGGGGAGAGTTTTTTTTGTTTTTACTCTAACTTCTAAAAGGAGGGGAAAGGGCAGGATTCTTCCCTCTTAGCCCTCAGCAAAGCTACCTCTTCGACCCTAGGGGATGGGTGACAGATCTCCCAGAGTGATCCCCCGACCCAGCTCCCTAGCATGGTGGGATGGTGGGCTGCACTGACTGGCTCCCCGGGGGAGACTTGAGCCCTAGGGCAGACCTTACTCAGGGGCAGAACATTTTTACCTCCAGGGGACCGGAAACTGCCACAAACACACCACAAATGCAGCAACTTTTCATAACCTGAGGCTTTGGGAAGAAGTCAGTTGCAGCCTTGATCCCCAAAGAGCTGCTTTCTCTGTAGTAGGAGGTAGAGCACCAGAGTAAAGAATTCGATCCTGGGGCAAGAGGCCCCTCTCTCGCGCCTGTTTTGGGGTTCTTACAAACTTCTGACTGCTTAGTCCTCGGTATCTATCAACAGATCACTGAGCTATGTAAATAGCCAGTTTAAAGGGGGGATTTTAGTAATTCTCTCTTGGGATCCTTATTCCAAAGCTCTGGCTTAGTGACCTCTATCCCTGACTGTGAATCAGCTCTCTTGCACTCTCTGTGTATGTGATTTTTTTCTTCATCTTTCTCTCCCTCTTTTTCTTTCTTTTCCCTTCTTTTTCTGTTTGCATTTCCTTTCTGTAACTTCTTAATTCAGTAAAGGAGAAAAGAAGGGGGGAGAGAGAGAAAGAATACCTCCTAGTCTATGAGCTGATATGTCTCAGAAGGAAAAAAAAAATGAACCAATGTTGAAACTGATGGGACAAGGAGAGAACCTGCCAGCCGGAAGCAGTCTACAATAGCACTGAAGCACAGCAGGCTCTCTCTTTGGGGCACACCTACTGAAAATAAGAGAGGACCGTTAGAAAATAAGAAGACCTCCCAGGGACTCTCCTGAAACTAAACACATCTTTGAGAAGCACAGTAGACAGCCAGTGTTGCAAGACATTTGAATATGGTGTCAATGGTTTCCAAATCCCTCCCCCCCACCCACATTTTTATTTTTTTTCCGCTGGTAGATTTGGGAAACTCCAAGGAAGTTTCTCAAAGAGGAATCAGATGGAGCAGAAGAGAGGCAACAAGATGGTTGACTAGGACAGAAGATGGAACTCAAATTAATTCGGGGAGCTACAGCAACCCACAGCAGAAATTCTGGAACCAGGCAGCCAGGTCCCCAACTATTAAGGATGTAATTCATTCTCTCTCTCTCTCTCTCTCTCTCTCTCTCTCTCTCTCTCTCTCTCTCTCTCTCTCTCTCTCATGTGTGTGTGTGTGTGTGTGTGTGTGTGTGTGTGTGTGTGTGTGTGTGTGTCCCTCACTCCTTTCTACTAAATTGAGATGCTTGGGAAACAAAAGAAAGAGAACCAAAAGGAAAAACAGGAAGATAAAGAGGGAAGGAAGGAGGGAAGGAAGAGGGAAGGAAGGAAGGAAGGAAAGAAGGAAGGAAGGAAGGAAGGAAGGAAGGAAGGAAGGAAGGAAGGAAGGAAGGAAGGAAGGAAAGAAAGAAGGAAATTTGCCTTTACATCCGACTGTCAATTGCTTCTGCCTGTCCTCCAGCTCTGTTGAATATGACCTAATATTAAAATTATTTCAGGCCAGAACGTTAACACTTCTTTCTAAGGGTGCTCTTCTCCTACACCTGGAACTTCCAGCAATTTGGCCCTGACCCGCCGCGCCCCCCCCCCACCCCAGTTAACCCTTTCTCACAGAAGAGAAGAAACTTCATTCTTTGCCATGGTTGGGCCTCAGGTTTGCTGTAAATGGCCAAGATTTCTAAATAAACACTGTAACTAAAAGGGGAGGACTTTCGAAAATGGTTACTGGTTAATGTTTTCACCAACCCAACGGAAAATGAGGGCAGTTCTAAGGCGATGACTGCCTGATAAGAGGAAAGCTTCTGTGCTGGGCCGAGATCAGGCAGGGGCAGCTGGGGGCCAGTCTTGTAAAGCAAGAGGGGAAAGCCAGTAGTGTTTTTGTTTTGTTTTGTTTTGTTTTGTTTTTTATTCCAAACCTCGACTACTCTGTTCTGTGCCGGGGGTTTTGCAAACAGCTAAATGAGTCTCCTGAGAAATGTCACTCTTTTGGTTTGAAGCCCACTTCCAAGAAGAGTAGTCCTAGATCTCCTAGGTTTCTCCCAGCCTATTCTAGCACTGCCCAGGGACATAATGGACTCTGGAATTCTCTCTCACAATTCTGGAGGTTTTCTAGTCATCTACTTGGGACCGAATGGGGAGAAGGGGAGAGAAGAGCGGCTGCTCTGACAGCTTCAATTTTCGTAAAAGTTAAGTTCCTGGTGGTGAGAATCAAAGAAGAGAGAATCCCTCTTGCCTTTGCAAACTGACCAGAACTAGGGCCTGGAGCCCGGAGCAGAGAACCCCTAGTTAATGCTCCTTGGTATTATTGAGAACAGTCCCTCCTGGTTCTCTGCATTTCTGCCGAGCTGCGGCTGGCTGGGAGGCCTCTTTCCCCTAGAGCTCCTCAGTGCCTTTTCCCCTTACTTTGCCTTCTTCCAACTAGCCTAGAGCAACCAGGCACACCAGACTCCTTAGGACTACAGTGCCAGGCCGATGGACTGGCAGACACGCGGGCTCAGGGATACATACGAAGCGAAGCCCGTGGGGCGCAGGCAGAAGGGGGGGGCGCACGCGAGGGGTTATGCAGAGACAGTCCCAGCCTCCGGGCCATGGGGACTATTTTTTCGTTCACTCACCCAAGGGTTTGATGGTGTTTTCGGAAGGCTCCTTCTCCTTGGAGCCGCCTCCGCTGGACATGAGCGCCGCGATGGAGAAAGCGTTGGCCCGCGACGAGAGCTGTGGCTTGGGCGACGCCGTGTACTCCATGCTGTCACCCGGCGGTCCTAGCCAGGCAGGAAGGCTACGGGGCTGACTCCCAGCTTTCCCCCAGATCAGTGGGGAACAAAGAAAAGGGAAATAAGGGAAAGTTTCTAGACAAGCGAAGAGCGGAAGCCACTCTCACCAGAAATCGCCCTGGACCCAAGCTCCCTGAAGCCCCAACACTCTGCTCTCTTCCCTCCCGGCTCTGCCCCTCAAAATCCTACCAGAGCTCAGGAGCATTGAAGGTCAGTTAAGCAGATCTAAGACCACACTGGGTGAGAAATGAGGGTCAGTTCGGCTATTGGGAACAGGTTCGAGGGAGGAGAGTGGAGGTGGGGGGACCCAAAGTGACCTGGAGGAGCCTGGGAGAAAAAAAAAAAAACACCCGAGGCGCAAATGCCAGGGATTTTAGTGCATGCCCCTGTCCCTTAGTGCCCTCTGGCCTGGGGCAAAGACGGATCGTCCGTAGTTGCCGAGACCTGATGCTTGGCCGAGTTTAGATGCTCCTGAACAGGCTATAGAGCGAGTCCGCAGCGGTGTCCGCGGCAATCCCGGAGGGGGTGGCCACTGCACCCGGGCGCACACTCTTCTGCACCTTAATTTGCCCAAAGCTGCGATCCTATCGGTCTTCAGCCAGTCAGCGCCTGCCGACGTCACAGGCTTCCTGATTCAGCCGATAGGGGCTGGGAAGGAGGAGATCTGGAGGGTGGAGGGAGGAGAAGGAGGAGGAGGAGGAGGAGGAGGAGACCTGGAGGGTGGAGGGAGGAGAAGGAGGAGGAGGAGGAGGAGGAGGAAGAGGAAGATGGGTTTGCCAGAGCCCCAAGCTCTCAGAAGCCGCTCACTTTCTCACCCCATGTTTGGGGCGGGGGGGAAAGGGAAAGAAAAGGTGAGGAAAGGAGCCCAGCCCTTGGAAATACTGAGGATCCTGGGCCCGTTAAAGGGATCTCAGCTCCACAGTTGGGCTTTCCCAGCCGATCCACTACCCTCTGTATGAGAAACTCCCAAGCAGCCCCGCCAGCACAGGGTGGCAGGCGAGTGGGCACCAAGGTCGTGCCAGCGTCCTGGACAGCTTCCCCTTGGGTGCTTTAGGGAAAGGGAAGAAGCTGGATTGCCCCCAGAATCGGGAAGGAAAAAAAAGGAAGTAGAATCTCAGGGGCTCTAGGAAGTTACAACTAACGCTGTGGGGGGGGGGGGGCTGTCCTCTCTTTTTTCTTCTTTTTTTCTTGTCTAAGCAAAGTGCCAAAATAAAGTTTGGATGTACTGAAGTAAAAACCAAAGTCACGGTTCCGAAATCAAAGCAACCTGCAAAAAAAACCAAGTCTTTTTGATGCGCGGGGATGCCGGACGAACCTCCCGGGGCCTGGGGCTAGATTTTCGTTAGGGAAACACCTGGCAAAATAAACTTTTCTCAAGAAGTCTAGGCTGCTTGTAGAGGAGGAGGCCACCCCCGAGACAGCGCCTTTGCCTCAAGCCTGGGACCAGGGGCCGGCCACTTGAGCGGGCGTCCAGCTGTCCCTCGGGGTGGCTCTGATCAGGCTGGAAGAAAAGCGGGGTCCCAGACCCCAGCCAGTCCAGAGGGGCGTCACAAAGGGGCCCCTGGCCATCTCTTGCATGGCCGGTACACACCTGTGCTCCCAGCGGTCGGAGGGGCCAGCTCGTTGCAGCTTCCCGCAAGTCCTGGCTTAGAGCAGAACCTTTCAGGGAATGGCCCTCCTTCGATGCGAGTGACTGCTATTTTCTTCTCTAGAGTTACTGCATAGTCCTCTTGGTTTGGCGCGATCTTACTCTGCCTACGGCTGTCTCCAGACTGACTCAAAACCTGACTCAGTGATCACATACTGAGAATGCAAATATTCTGCCTCTCTGAACACTCAGCTGAGGACTAGAGCCGGACTGAAATGACAGGCAAAGCAGCCAGGTCGAGAGGTAATCGCCACCCTTCCTCCACACCTCTTAACATCTCATCTCTTCTAAAGAAACCTACGGAAAGACATAAAATCTCCAAATCACCCTGGAGGAAGCTTAAGGATACAAACGCTGTCTTCCGAAACCTCGAAGCCTGAAGTGTCTGGAGTCTGAGACACAGGTGTCTGAGGATTCCAGTATCCACATCACGAGGGCATCCATGCCTGTATCCATCCATCGTTCCAGGCATTCACGCTATTTCTTTGGATCCATGATGTTTTATTCACGTGCCCCCGATGGGGAAGAGGGAGAGAAAAAGAGATAGATGGACACCGACACAGAAACACACACAGAGAGAGACAGAGACAGAGACACACAGACACACACAGAGAGACAGAGACGGAAACAGAGAGCAGAACAGAGAGACAGAGAGATGTCCAAGGTTAGGGACTGATTTGATTGGTAGAGGGAATTCTGATTTGAGGAAGGTCGGCACCTTCTCTGAAGCGTTTTAGAGAGTTCCCTGGGAGTATTTTGAAGTTAAGTGACTCGCCCAGGATCACACAACCTGAAGCCAGAGCAATCTCCCTAACCCCTATGCCACGGCGCCTCTCATCTACATTGGTAAATGTTCTGAGAAATGAGTATTATGAATAATATCATGGGATGTTAGAGGCAGATCTGCGCTTAGACAGCCGCCAGTCTAACCCCGCCTCTCTCCTCATTTAACAGATAATAAGAATAATTTGCCAGACGCAGCGTGGTGTGGGCAGCTAGGTGGCACAGTGACTAGAGCGCTGTGCCTGGAGTCCGGAAGACCTGAGTTCAAATCCGGCGTGAGAGGCTTAATGGCTCTGTGATCATGGGCAAGTCACTTAACCCTGTCTGCCTCAGTTTCCTTAACTGTAAAATGAGCTGGAGAAAGAAAAGACAAAATACTCCAGTATCTTTGCCAAGAAACCCCAAAGGGGTCATAAAGAGTCGGACACGACTGAAAAAAACGACTAAACAACAACAAAGCGAGGTGTAGAGGGCGGAAGCAACCTCGGAGTCTAGAACACGAGTTCCAGTCCTGCTTTTGACAAGAACAAGCTGTCTGCCCTAGGTAAATTCCTTGGTCTTTCAGCGGCGGAAGTGAGAGATAGGATGCCGGACTTGGAATCAGGAAGACCTAGCCTCTGAGACTGAGTACCTGTGTGACGGTGGCCAAGTCACTTGAAGGTCCAAATCTGATTGGATTCTAATTTCTATATGAGCTGCAGGTCTCCACAAATAGATAGAGGATGTTTCTGTATTTATACCAAGGACTTCGCTAGTTTAATGGATTCATTGCCCTAGATAGCTTTTTTTTTTTTTTTTAAAGACCAGACCTATAATTCCACTGGTATGGGGAGCTCCCTCTGCTAACGGAGATCGGACTCTCCCGCAACTTAGAGTCTCAAGAACCGTGCGGGGGCACCGAGAGGGTAGGTCCTTGCCATGAGGGTCACACAGCCAATAGATTCCAGAGATGGGATTTGAACCCGTCCTATCGATTGGGAGGCCAGCCCACCTATTAAGCCCCAGCCGCCCCTTTAGATAGCTAGAGCTGCATGTTCCATTTCTACAGCACGAGCTTCAAGTTTTCAAAGGACTTCGCCCCCCATAAACCAGTGAGGTAGGCAGTGCCAATACTTTCTCTTTCATTTGACAAATGAGCAAATCGAGGCCCGGAGAGACGAAGTAATTCGCCCAATATTGCCCGGGAGGTCAAGGGAGAGCCAGCACTTCTGGGGGCTGGCGATGGGCTCTGATACTCCCCTCCTGCCTCCCTCCAGCACGCGAAGTCAAGCTCATAGTCACTGAGCTGATGATTTGAAGGAAGAAAGTCCATCCAGACATTCTACACGGAAGGGAATGTGACAGCCTTGACTGGGGGTAGACGTGAGTGAGGGAGGGGTGGTGCAGGAAGCTGTAGCCTTCACAAATGCCTGGAAGGCGTGATCAGAAATTTCTCTTTTTGATAGTTCAGTCACTTCTTAGAAGAGGCCCACTCTGACCTCCAGATTCTGAGAGCCAGCACGAACTCCTCAGCCATAGGAGGACATTGGGGAAGGCAACCATCGCATTTCCTCCCTAACCCCCGGTTTTTACGGGCTCTAGCCTGGGAGCTTCTCCTCCCCGAGGGAGTTTTCTTCCCTGGAGCAAGAGCTCTGCTGCTAAGGGACCCTTTACAAACATGAAGTCCTCGCAGTGCTTCGGGGCTCCCTTCTCTCGCCCCTTAACTAACTCAGAGAGCTTTGATTTGATTGGAAGGTTTCAAACCCAAATCCAGGCTTTGCCCTTCCCTTAGGTGAGCAGAAGTGGTAGGAAGGGACAGAGACACCTTCAGCTCCCCAGAATGGAAGATTGCTACCTAAAAGTGGCTCGGAGTCGAGAGGGTAAGATTGCTTTAGTAGCCTCCGAATCTGGGTCCTAGGCAGAGGAGAAGACGTGGATGTGAACGGCGCTTACCCAAGGGCGCCCCTCCCAAAAGAACAGGGGAAGCGGAGCCTCACAGGCGTGAAAAGGCTGTGCCGGGCTGCAGCGGGACCATTCTCCGGATATTTCGCTCAAAACTCTTTCATCTAGAGGATATGGCCATTTTAAAAGAGGAAAGCGATTGGGAAAAGTTGATCGAAAGAAGTGGAATTATCCGGATAATTGTTTCTTTTTCTCCTGCTCTTGGTCTTACGCCTTCAGTTCCTTCGGAGGTTTTCTGTGTGTCTATGCAGTCATCTGAGGCCAAACGCGCCTTTTGTTCATCTCCTACGACATTACGACTTACAGTCGTAAAAACAAAAGCAAACAAACATTCATTCACACTGCGCTTTAAGAACCTTATTTGGGTGTCGTGTAGCTTTTGAGAGTGTCCGTAGAGCTGGAAGAAATCTCGGAGCTATCCAGTCCAAAGCCTACGCTAGAGGAATCCCCCGCCAGAACACACCCAAGCGAGCTGACCGCCAGCCTTCTCATTTAACAGTTGAGGAAAATGAAGTCCACGGAGATTAAGTGGCTTAATCTTTTGCATTTACACAAGTAACAATCATCAGAGGCTAGACTTGAACCAGGCCCCGAGACTCCAGAGGCCTTTCTCTCTCTCTCTGTCTCTCTCTCTCTCTCTCTGTCTCTCTGTCTCTCTCTGTCTCTGTCTCTGTCTCCCCGTCTCTGTCTCTGTCTCTGTGTGTGTGTCTCTGTCTCTGTCTCTGTGTCTCTGTGTGTGTCTCTCTCTGTGTATCTGTCTGTATCTCTGTATCTGTCTCTGTCTCTGTCTCGGTCTTGGTCTCTGTCTCTGTCTCCCCCTCTCTGTCTCTCTGTCTCCCCCTCTCTGTCTCCTTGTCTCTGTCTCTCTGTGTGTCTGTCTGTCTGTATCTCTGTCTCTGTGTGTCTCTATTTGTCTCTGTCTGTCTCTGTCTCTC